ACCCTCGACGCCCCCCTCCCCCCCTCCCGCCCCCCCCCCTCCCCCGCCCTATTTCCCTACCATTCGATTCAGCACTCCTCGGGATTCCTCATGCATTGCATTGTCCACCCCCCACACGAACGGTCCCTCCCATGCGAGAGGTCCACGTGTATCGATGGGGTTATTGTAGGCATTATACCGGGGGGGAAGGGGGGCAATGGAAGGGGGGGGGGGGGGGTTCAGGGGGGAGGGCATGGGAAAGGCTGCAAGGCGGCGGAGAGGCCATGAATCTTTAAAGTGGCAAGTCCCGCATGCATATTAGATCGGCAAGGCCGGAATTCTGTCACACATACACACAGAGGAAGAACATGCACGCGATTAGCTCGAGGATGATCCATCAACCTCGTCCATGCATACAGATCCCACGATGAATCTTTAACGAGCGTCGAAAAAAAAATTTCCAATTCCCCCGAGATTCGAACCCTCGACAGGTAGCACCTTCCCAGGTAGCACCTTCACAGGTGCTTCGAGTAGCACCTTTTGTCAGCTGATTTGCCCCTAGGTCTCACGCTGAGACGAGTCGATAAGCCGGGGCTCCCCTGCTGATCCTCACAAAGAATTACACCTGCCCCTCGTAATACCCCCTGTAATGCCCCCTGCGATGCCCCCTGTAATGTCCCCTGTAATGCCCCCTCCTCTCCCGAACGACAGGGGCATCCTTACAAGTCCTTCGACAGAAATTGCAACCCTGACAATCCTCATCAACAGATCGTGATCCGCGGCTTTTTTTTTTCTCATTTTGCAAGTCGTGATCTGCGTTGCGCAAACCGCAGCAGCAGCGAGGGGCCTTTAACCGAAGGACCTTTAGAAAGGACACACGAGGATGAACACACGGATCCCATCTCTTCATTATTTCCATGAAATCCCAGGTTCTGCTCCGACGAATGAAAAGATCTCTGTAATCTCCATGTCCGTCATTTCAATCAAAATCCTCCTTGACATGGTAATTGGCTCCCACAAGAAAAAAGTACGCGGGGAAGGGAAAAAAGAAATGGAAATGCGAACATAATCACATGCAGACCCCTCGATTTTTTTTTGTTCTTTTTCCCCTTTTTTTCCTTCCCCCCCCTTTGGAACACGGCGTGGCATAGGGACAATTTATTTGCATCCTCGACATAAATTATGATTGAGGACCCGGTGGAGGTAGGTCGATACATCCCGTCGACCTCACTTCTCATAATGCGTGCATTAATTATACTCTTCCCCTCCATAATACACGGCGGAGACAAAAAAGTCCACGGCAAACACCGATGACCGGCTTTACGCGCAAATTACGGCATCGATGAGCTCGAGGATCCGTGCCCGTTCATCGATCCCCAGACGTCGTAATTAGCCGTTCGCGGCAGCTGCTCCGGATCGCCATTTATCGGTTTCTGAAAGAAAAAAAAAAAAACGCGCGCT